AAATCTTAACACAAATCCAAAACCTTTTAAAACAGAAGCTGTTAACTCTACTTCACATCTGCATGTCAAGATCACGGTTTGCCCAGCAGCTCTTTTGTTTGGATTACACTATGAATGAATCCTTGAGGCATACCATCCACGGTTCGAAATTAAAAAAAAAATCAAACCTTTTTTTGCATGAGAGAAACAGGTATCTTTTGAGAAGTTGTGTACTGATTAAAAAGAATATAACTTTGACAAACCTTAAAGAGTGAATTTTGCTTGAAGAATTTAAAATCTGTCTGCCTGACTGTATTGCAGCTTATTTAATTGAACCAAAATTTCCCTTTAGATGTAAAATTCCATATTACATGGATTTAAACATGACAGTAGAGAGAGCAATTGTTTCACTAACAACTAATGCACCACAAGTGCCACCTGTTGGTAATTTTCACCAGCCAATCACATACTGCAGCTGCCTGGACCCACCTTTGGTTTCATCTGTATTGCTCAAAATGTTTTATTTAATAATTTCCTAAATTATGTTGCTTTATATATTATTTGATTTATACTCTAAATGTTGAATATATATGGAATGAACTGAATGTTCAACATTTTTAAGGCACTCTAAAATATATACTTTTAAAATGAATCTCCTCTCTTTATATATGTGTATCTATTCCTTATTATGCTGTGTTACATTCTTACTCAAAGCACTGTAATTCCAACACAGAAAATGATCAAGCACATCAGACTGCTCTGTAGTATATTAATGTTCTATAAGGGAGAGTGCTGGTATGGAAATGTATTTTTGTCCATTAGTCCTAACTTCAATGTATAAATAAATTAAAGGAGTGTTCTTCTAATATTTAGCACAATAAGCTTGTTTAATGTTTGCTTTTTCAGTATAATTCCTTACATCCAGACCCTCAGGCTATCAAGCATTTTGAATGTCAGTTTTTTTTCATACATTTTAAATTTGATAATCTGTGAAACTGAAAACATGCATTGCATTTTAGGTCTATGGAATATATATATTTTTCACACTTCTTTCTAGGCTGAAACAACTTTTGTAGTAATTTATTATAACTGGATGTATAGTGCATTGTAGGAAAAATGTTATTTAATGTCTTCTCATAAAAAATTACTTTTGATGGATAAAAGGACTATAAAATACAGCTTTGCTGAAATATCTTGTCATAAATCTTGTTTTAATCAAAAGGATTTAAACCTCATATGTTGTCAAAAGTTTTCCAGAGGAATCACGTTTCTTTTTATTTATTTCTCAAAATAGCTTGTACCATATGCCAGATTTGGCTAGGTAAATTACATGCAGTAATTATGAAAAAGAAAGTTAACTTACTCAATTAATCTGTCTCTTTTCAAACTCAAAGTTGATTTGGAAATATTACTAGTAAATGTAGAAATATATGCTTCAAGGGAGGTACGTCAAGAAGATGAAGACAAATAACATTTTTGTCAGCTGTATGTTTTGCTAATAATGATATGTTCTACAGACTCAGAGATCTACAGTAGTACAACGCTTGTGCTAGGGTAGGTGCTGTTTCCAGCTCTTGTAGCACCACAGCCAATGGTCAGTCACCTAATCAATCTTCCAACCTGTCAGTTCCTGTGGCAACACAGTCTGGCTGGTTGTCAATACCACCTTCACATAATTAAGGGCTCTCACCATTATTCCCAGTAGGGTATTTATTCCCACTCAAGCAGCTTTACAGTGCTTGGTCTTAGCATTAGGTCCGGTAATGTAGTGCTTCTGTTCTCCCATGTTTTAAATTTCTCCCTGGCTTGACTAATCACTTGTTCTCTTGACCACACTACATGGATCACCTCTTGTATGTCATCATCAATACACTTTACTTTAAAAGAAGGCACTATACTTTGGATGAGATGTAAAACCAATGTCCTGACACTCTGTGGTCATTAAAAATCCCAGGGTACTTTTTGAAAAGAGTAGAAGTGTTACCCCAGTGTGCTGGCCAAATTTTTTTTCATGGCCTTTACCAATCATGTCTAATAATAATCTCCATCTATGGATTGGATTGATTACTCTTCTCTCCTCCCCACTGATAGCTGATGTGTGGTGAGTGTACTGGTATGCTATAGCTGCAGTTGCATCATCCAGGTGGATGCTACACATTTGTGGTAGTGGAGGAGAGTCCCTATAACCTGCAAACTGGTTTAAGTGGAGCGTCCAGAAAAGTGCTACATAAGTGCAAGAAATATCATTATTATTTGACCTGGATCACATGACTTTGTGAACTCGTGTTTACACTACCTGTCGACTCCATTCAGTGAAGGCTGGTTCTTTGCTCACTGTAGCTAGGACTAAATCTCAGACTTTTGGTGACCATGTTTTTTTTTTCTGTTGCAGCTCCTTTGTTATGGAATGTCCTTCCTCTGACTCTTCGAGAGACAAATTCATTGACTCCCTTCATACCTAAACTCAGAACTCACCGATAGCACTACATTGTATCCTGTATAGTCTTAATTGTTGTTTTTTTACTTTTAATTGTAATTTTTTTGTCTTTTTCTTCATCACTATGTACAGTAACTCTGGGGTTGGGATATCATATAAAAAGTGTATTATTATTATTATTATTATTATTGTTATTTTATTATTATTATTATTATTATTATTATTATCATTTTTATTATCTGCATAGTTACATCTTGCATGCCTTTCTGTTCTGTCTGCCTGCAGTTTTCTCACACACCACTGCAGTCTGTTATCAGCCTAGTTCTTGCTTCTGGTAAGTTTGTTCAGCAGACAATAATACCTCATATTTGGATTTTAACTTCAACACTAGACTTACCTGTATAGCTTCTTCCTGTCTAACATTGATCCAAACAATTATAGTAATCAGTCAAAACCTAATTCCTATAGGTCTTTGGTCTAAAGAAACACAGCATTAGAAAAAGAACAATTATTATACTTTTAGCAAATTCTTCATAAGTACAGTGTTACATGCTGAACTTCAATTAAGTAAGAGTTGGCATATTCTGTGTATATGTGCATATAATGCATATAAAAGTTAAATTGCAGCTGAGAACTTCCAATTAAAAAAGTACAATGAGAATGATGACTTTAATAGCGATGAATGACAAATATTCACTCCACAATCTAAAACATTGCCTTGTAACAAAAAGGGATTATAGCTTCTTTAGCATTGTCCCTCCTGTCTGAGGGATGACAATCCAGACATTTGGGATACAGGAGTCAGAATGTCTGTAAGGAACAAGCCAAGTGGCTACTGTATGAGTGGTAAAGGAGAAACTGAACGCATGCAACACAAGGAATACTGAGAATGAAGGATTACTATTCTTACATAAGAGTAGAAAACTATGTCTGTGAGATGAAATGCGTCTATAGTTGTCTTTATTTCATTTGCTCTTGAACACCAACAAGTTACATTTTACTCTTACATCTACAATGTCAGAGTTAAAACAAGAGCACTTTGGTTGTGTACCTCTGATCTGTAGTCAAGTAGACCCGTATACATTCATATTATGATCAACATTTGAAATCAATCTTCTCTAAGTTATCTCAAGGCAATGTTTTCAGAAAGATCAATTGTAATTGGCTCAAAGGTTTCTTACTCAGGGATGAATGAAGCAATCCTGCATGGATGAATTAAACAGAGCACATTGATTTATAACAGTCTGGCAAACACACAAACAAAGATGTATTTCTTTTAATCTGGTTTCATCCGTTTAGCACCTAAAGTTTTATGAATATCCGTATGTTATCAATTTACACTTGAAGAGGTGACCTACAGTAAGTGGTCTATAAATTTCTAGTTTATATATATGGAAAATCTGTACTGCTTGCCTGACTATCTTCATGGAAGTGTATTATATTATATAGATTTTATTCAGCATCTGCAAGGTGACCTTGTTCAGCAATGTTGCAGATTTTGGCCATGTTTAAATGAGAAGTAGTATAAGACAATACATTAATGTTTCAAATTTTCATTAATTACAATTTTAATTTACAAAATCTAATGTTTTCTGATATGAATATATATCACAAGAAATACATTCTTTCTGAATACCAAGTCATACTAACAGTAGGTGACTAACAATGTAACATACACCAAAGCCTAATGAGAAAGTCTAGAGTTTTAAGCAAATTCAAAGTCCACACATTAATGACTTGTGACACTGAATATAAAAGCACAGTACAGCTTCATCACACAATTTACTGCAGTGAAACAGTGTCAAAAATACTCTGCTCGATAATAATGAAAAAAGATAATAGTCATTTCAGCCCAATTCTCATTTGAATCTCATAACCACCAGGGTGATCAATTTTAAAACCCCATTAGTTCTGCCAGTGTGAACCGTTTGGAGTCTCATTTCAAGATCACCTTGCAGTGCGAAACTGTCAAGACAAGCCGTTTAATGAACAACTTACAATTAATGTCTCTGCCAACACAGATTTGCTTCTCATATACTATGACATGCAATTGATGGTCTGTCCATCTATAAATGGGCTATTTGACAATACAATTCCTGCAAACAAAGTTACTTATTGTATTTTTCATGCTGACAATGCATAAACTAACACTAATGGACAGTGGAATTGTAATCTTGGGGCTATTTCAGCAAGACATTTCTTTTGCTGACATTATCATAGAAAAGCTTAACTGTTTAGTAATTGTTCATGATAAAGATGCTGTGTATTTTCAGAATGCCTAAAAACAATGGGGCGTTCTTTTTTTGTAATGACTTACAGATTATCAATAGGCTTCCAAAGAAATGTCCTAATTTCTATAGGTGACTATTGGGAATTGGGACATTTTTAATAAAATCTTTAGACTAATTTCATTAGGTAATAACTGAATGGTAGCATTCAACAGGACACTTTTGATACTACCATTATGGTTGTTCCTAAATGATGTGCACTTCAAGTCACCTGATCTATACTATTTTTTCTGTATCAAACAAAAGAACACAAGGTCCAGCCTGAAGCCTTTCAAATATCAGACAAGCATACTCACTTAATGATGTCTCCTTCAAGGGCAATCACTCGCTTAATGATCTTCTGTTGGGGATTTTTTGGAGACCTAAAGGCAAAGATAAGGCTACAATTAAAATGTTTCTCAAATGGTTTAAAATAACCACAAAGGAGTGGTGACCACTAAATTAATTCTAGAGCATCTACCTTTTTGACACACCATCAGTCACAGTTAGGTTATTCATACACTTAAAGCTTTCCATTTCCTTTATTTCTCATCATGGAGACAGAACTCTTAAAACACAAATGTGGACAGAAAGAACTATCATTTCACTGAGTGTATACTGTAAGTGAGAGCGAAAGGATTCAACCTATCCATTTTATCAGCCGACTGTCTTGAAGTGATGTAAATGAGAACTATATTTCTTATGTTGTTTCAAGTTCTACTTGATGTGGATAAACTGTTAGAAAATAAAATAATAATAGGTTAGTTGATGCCCAACCTACTTTCATTTAAAGTGCACATCTTTTACAATTATGTCAAAAGTCTACAAAAGCAGAACACACAATGCAAGAAGACATGTTCAAAAGATTTATATGTTTTTATACAGTATATGAAGCACAAACAGAGGGTACAAAATGAACTTTTAGCTCTTAGGTTGGAGAAGAAATGTTCAAAAAACAAATCATGCTCTAAAAGAAATGAAATATATATATGAAATTTTATTTGGCAAAAATTAAAAAATAACTTTTCATTTACAAACTGTACTCCAAAGTATGAATAATGTTGTCTTTCAGAAAAAGCGTTTTTTGTTCATATCTGAAAAAAGGAGCTAGTACATAAATCATTATACTGTACATCAGACTTACTCTTGGATGTAGAATGTAAATACATTCACTTCAGTATAAATGGTACAGCAAAAGGTTGCTGAGCACAAGTGTCAAAGGAAAATAATTTCCTTGACCTACACATACAATTGCCACATGTTGTGTTATTAAAGGGCTTTAGAATCTCCAAGCAAGTATTTCCATTTGATAGTCATTGACATGTTACAGTGTAATTACTGACCCTTTTTTACTACCCAGTCAGTAATATTCATGATATTGACCTTGAATAAACAGGGGTCTGCACTTTAAAAAGTAAACAGAATTTTCATTGTAGAGCTTTACCATTTGCATGGATGAGTAGAAAGAAAATCTTTATCTATATAAGTACATTGCAAAACAGTTTTCCAACATACTATAAATTCAGGCACTTGAAGTTATTTAATTGCACTCTTTAACAGGCTCAACACAAGTGTCTCAACCAGTAAAAGTGCTTGCCTGAGCACAAGTTAAGGTCTCTGTTCCAGTCATTCTGAACTGGAGCCTAGGTCACATCATCAAATGACCATGACCAGAATTACACAAGTAATGACCACACAATTGGCTGAGCAAAGCCAAGATAAGGGGTAGAATTGGTCAGCCCAAAACACAAAACTAGATTATTAGATGTAAAAATCTCATTTCAAGATTAAACAATAATCTGTTAAGAATTACATTGCATAATGTAGTACTTTTTTCAAACCTAAGCAGAAAAACCTTACCATCATCCACAAACATGAAAACAATAATTGAATGCAAACATTTCTAAGTCCATACAGTGCTAAAAAAACAGAATAATAATTTATGTTCTCCTTGTTACTCGAATAAACACCAGTGAGCACTACACGGCAGTTTTATTAAGACTGTAAATGTAACAGGTGAGCTTATTTTCTCTAAATGAATAATAATGGACTCTAGGATTTGTAACTTATTGTCATTACTGCTACCCAGTCTTTTATGACTGGGGGCCATACACTAGTTTTATGTTATGTGACATATTGCATTTAGGCTCAGGCTGATTTTTGGCTGATGTTTGGGTTCATAATGTGAGAAGTGTTGGATAAATGATCTAGAGTCAACATATGTCTTGATGTCATTTTCTGTCTCAATAGTATTTAAAAAAATATTTTTATGTGCTACTAATAAACACAGTGGAGAGTACTGTGAACTGACTCAGTGATTAGTCTGAGTAGACCCAGAACAGGGGTCAATTCAGAAAAGGTGAGTGCTTGGATTTCAAATTGGTTAATAAATAAAAAAATACAGGGTACAAATAAGGAATGAATACTCAGATTGGGGTTATGATATCAGTTGAGTACCACTGAGATCTGAAATTTAACCACTGCAGTTCTTTATTTAGTTCTATCATCCAGACATGAACATGAACTAGTCATGTATGTAGATGCTAGCAAATAAGGAAGATCAGCAAACACTATAGAAACAACAAATGAAAAAAAAAATATTAAGATAAAATTCACAACTGACCAACATCTGGTCTTATTTAGAATATCATGTAGAATTCTGGTCACCATATTATAGAACAGATAATTCTGCTTTGGAAAACTTCCAAAGAAAATCTACCAGGTACTGAAGCATAGGGGAATGTCTTATACTGACAGTCTGAAAGAAATCATCATATTTACTTAATTAATTTAGTAGATTATAAGAGGACCTGCTACAAGTATTAAAATCCTTAAAGGCATTGACAAAGTCAACCTAGGAGATTTCTTCAGAATGAACAGTGAAACACAACAGAGGAAACAAGTGGAAATTGCTGAAGTGAATTTAATTATGAGAACAGGAGACACTTCTTTACCCAAAGTGTTGAGTAGTATGGAAATACCTTCACAGCCATGTTACCAATTTTACCAAGCTGATGCCCTGGCTTCTTTCAAGAAATGGCTGGATGAGATTCTTGCATCAATTAGCTACTAACTACCAGACAAGCTACATGAGCCAAGTGGTCTACTTTCATTTATAATTTTTCTTACTGTCTTTCTGTATGGTCAATGTGATGAAATGATCTGTTATGTTCAAGGTGGAGATCTCTTTTGATACCATTTAAAATAATTCAATTGTTCTTTTTGATAGTAGAAGATTATTGTAGCTCTAAAAATGAAGGATAGAAGTAAATGCTCTGTATTTTAATTAATAATTGTTCTGTTACATTTAGGGCATAGCTCATACCAATGCATTGGATAATAAATTTCAATTACAGTATAAGATAGATAAGATAAGACTTTATTGATCCCAAAGGAAAAATGAGGCGTTACAAGAGCCCAGCCCAAGACAATGTCAAGATGTCAAAACAGACATCAGAATAGACTACAATTAAAATAACTACAGCATTAGGGTAAATAAAAAGTATAAATAATACAAAAATAAAATAAACAGGAAAAATTAGGTGTGTGCAAAATATGCTAATAGTCACTGTAAAACAATAAAATATGTGCAAAATGAGCATAGGTTTATACAGTTTGAAAATACCACAATATAAACAGTATATTAATGCAGTCTCCAAAAACTACATGAGTGCAACATGCTGTCCATGATGAGCAGGTGAAGAGCTAACAGGCTTAGCTTAGGGCAGTGTTGTACACCCTGACAGCCACTGGGAGAAGGACCTGCAGAAATGTTCCTTTAACACCGAAGCTAGAGCAGTCTGTTACTAAAAGTGCTCCGGTGTCTAATAACAGTCCCATGTAGTGGATGAGAGGTGTTGTTCATGATGGCTGTGAGCATGGTTAGCATTCTCATCTCTGCCACCACCTCCAGGGGGTCAAGACTCAGTCCCAAAACAGAGCCAGCCTTCTTGATGAGTTTATTGAGTCTACTTACATCTCTAGCCATGATGCTGCTGCCCCAGCACACAACAGCGTAGAAGATGGCCGCTGCCACCACTGATTACTAAAAAATGCCTAGCAGTGTTCCACATACACCAAAGTATGTGAGCTTCCTAAAAAAATTGAATCGGCCCTGACCTTTCTTGTACAGAGCGTCAGTGTTAACAGTCCGCTCCATCTTATCATCCAGGTATACCCCTAGGTGCTTGTAGGACTGCACCACCTCTATGTCCTCACCATGGATGGAAACAGGGGTCAATGGAGACTTATTCCTCTGAAAGTCCATGACCATTTCTTTAGTCTTGGTGGTGTTTAACTGGAGATGGTTAAGATGACACCACTCCACAAAGCTGGTAATCAGGCTCCTATATTGCTCCTCCCTCCCCTCACTAATACACCCCACAATTGCAGAGTCATCCGAAAACATCATCAGATGACATGTCTCAGAGTTGTACCTGAAGTCAGAGGTGTAAAAAGTGAACAGAAATGGAGTAAAGACAGTCCCCTGTGGAGCCCCAGTACTGGTAACAACCTGATCGGACACACAACTCTGTAGCCGTACATACTGTGTCCTGCAGGTCAGATAATCTATAATCCAGGATACCAAGGGAGTGTCCACCTGGCCTGCCTTTATTTTATCTCTCAGTAATGGGGGATGGATGGTGTTAAAGGCGCTGGAGAAATCAAAGAACATAACTCTCATACATAACTGAACATAACTGAGGACATGAAGAGGGTGTCTGGGGTGAAGGCCTGTGAGGTGAATGGACAGTGGACCCTGTATCGAATCTGTTAAAAAGAAGATTCAGCTCATTGGCCCTCTCCAGGCCTCCCTCATTCCGTTGGCCACCAGACAGCTTGTATTTGGAGATCTTCCTCATGCCGTTCCACACGTCTCTCACATCGTTATACTCCTCTTGAAATGAAATATGAAAAACCACTAGCAGAGAATGGACTATATTCTACAGTAAGTGTTGCAAATTAATTGGCTTTGCTTCCCCGAAGTCAGTGTTATACTATTACCAAATATCTTTCATATTTTAAACCAAACAAAAGAAATATGCTGAGTTGTTACCCTAGAAAGCGTTATCTGTTTCAAACCACTGACAATGTACTATACTTCCCAAGAAAGAAAAAAATGTGATTTCAAATAAATGCCCCAAGGAAAGAAAAACATGAAAATGGTATCTGCATGTTTGCTTATTCAAGTGTTTGGACCTTAATAACTTTTGTGGTTTTTCTGGCAAACACATCTGCATGAATAACAAGCACATCCTGTGTATTAATAAAATCTTCTTCGATTTAGTTTAATTCCATTAATAGCCACTAAAATAAAACAATCAATGATGCTCCAGCAGCAAATTTACCAGGAAAAAAGCTAAACAAATTATAACAATTACCA